CTTGATTGTAGAATATCCTACCAAAGTTTTCCTTGTCAGGAAAAACCTCAGCCTGCTTCGGAAGGAAAGCACCTCCACTATCAACAAGATATATGCATGGTAGTTTACATTGTGAGGCAATTTCTTGTGCCCTGAGATGTTTCTTGACTGTGATGGGATAATAAGTTCCACCCTTCACAGTGGGGTCATTTGCCACAAACAAGCATAGTTTACCATGTACTGCACCAATTCCGGTAATTATCCCACCAGAAGGTAATGGCTCATCATACAATTCATGGCCAGCAAGCTGAAATTATTGAACATGACATCCAGGATGAAAGGTAAGAAAATATGTGAGAGAAACTATAACTTGCAATTTATTTTTCAAATGAACCTCCCAAGAGCGAGAAATGGAAACAAATCTCTAGATTGCAACTTTCAGCATTTCGAATATTTTGCAGGGCATAGGAAACAAAGCATTACATGCTAAGGAAACAATTTAAGGCCAGCAAGAAAAATAAGGACATCTCAGACTTTGCAACTATCCAATGAAAATATAGAACTTATTCTCAGCTCCTACATTCTTGTTTTTAATAGTAACATAAGATCAACGCTAATTCAACTTGTGTGACAGAGCATCATCAAATACAACCTCCAATTGGTAAACTCTGAACTACTCGAGCTAATTTAGCAGTATAATTACCGGTATTTCTCACAAGATCGAGAACACAGCATTCGCTCTAGTTTGTAACAAATTGGCTTTTTGTACCTGAGAAAGCTCAAGAAACGAAGAACCAGGATCGATGAGGCGATCAATTCTGTCTCTAGGAAGAAGCTTATTTCTACTCTGGTTCCTCTTCACGGCTTCCGCTCCTCCTCCCTCCATAACCTGTAATCAATCATGACAAGCAAGTATTGAGTGAAACCCAAGGACAATATTGTTCAATCGACAAATCAACCCAACAGAAACAAAGTTGTTAGCTCGGACCCTCTGAATATTGGAGTGAAGTTGGGATATAATGCCTTCCATGACCTGGGAGTTCTTGAGGAATGATTCGGAGCTCCGATTAATGGTGTCGGGTAAGACCCCTAAGCAGCAGAAGCTCCGGGGGAAAATGTAGGTGCCCGGGTTGTTTAACTGCCGCTGAACTGGACTGCATCGCACCCCCAATAACGAACTAAATCTACCAGTACTAATTCGTCTGGCTAAGATTCCAGCCATTTTTTACTCTCGTGCTTTTACTGACGCGGTGGCGGTGGCGGTGGCGGTGGGGCTTTGTCCCGGGTTGGAGTTTCCACTTGTTATATTGCGGTTGGGGTTGTTCTATTATTGCTTGCAAGGATTGTCCACAATGTCATCAATACATATCCACTCTTCCAAGGATTTCTCTCCGCCGTGGTAGCATCACTCTTGAGATATAGTGCATTATTCAAAGATTTGCCCCCTTTTTTTTTAAATAAAATAAAATTTGCAGCTCTACCTTTCAATTCCCCTCCTTGTCTTTTTGTTTTTATGTTTTTGTTTGCTTTTGAATTGCTTCCAATTTCAAAAGGGTTTAAATAGGTAAAGTTTTCTTTTTTCTTCGCCTACAAATGTTAATGTTTGCGTTTCAATTGAAGATTATATGTAAAAGAATTGTTTTATTATTTACCTAACTTCTGTTTATGTAAAAATATGATCAAACAATAATACAAAACAATTTTTTTAAAAAAAAACTATCAAATTAAATACACAATTTTCAGAAATTAAAAAAATCCTAAATAATTTACTAAAATCTTCTTCAAAATGAACCTTGAAATCGAGCAATTGTTACCTACTTGCTAGGATTTCAACAACTTTAAATTATATGGAATAGGTGTCAATCATTGCACTCGCTTCCTTATTTTATTATTTTCTTTTATAAAAGGGTAATTATGTTCCTCCCCTCATCCTATTGTCACATTCAATTTTATAGTGACTATATTAACTTAATTTTACAATTACTTTGTCCAATAACATTATCTTTTTTTAATATGTACATGCATATATACATATATGTGCACGTGCGTTCACGTGTGCGTGTTTGTATTTACTATTTGTTAGTGCATAATGTGCTTATGAAAGATAATAGTACTAATGTTGTTGCACAATGTATGTCAAGTAGTGATCTTTCATTATTTAGAGCTGTAAGATATAAGTTAGATGGCTTTAGGTCTGAGCCTTTGTTTTATATATTGATTATTCAAATGGTCATGATCTGCTGATATTGCAATATGTGGACATAATAAGAATAAATTAGCAGAAATGCCCGTGCATCGCGCGGGTGTTTGGTGCTTGTGGGAAAGGAGGTTTTTTTTTTTAACAAACAATAGTACATTATGAAAAGAAATAGCCATCAAATAATGAGAAGCAATTACTATTACAAAAAAAATTAGTCCATAAAGTAATCGAACGAAAACAATAGTAATAGTCCATAAAGCAAAAATTGTTGAAAACAAAGAAAGTAATAGCTATAATCTTGGCACCATGCAGTCCCTTATTTAGTGATAGTAATAGTAGTAGACTAATCTAGATACTTTAATAGGCAGCCTTAAGTACTCAGCTGTGTTGCTTTTTGGTGGTTCCGTCATTTTGTTGTGTAGGTATTGCACCACTGGTTCCTTCACTGTACTTTGTAGAAGATGAGGTGTCCAAATTGGTTGGGCCGACTCTTTTCCTTGTCTCCATTTCTGTCATTGCGACATCTATTGCCGTTCCTTGAGAGATAAAATCGGATTTTTTTGCTACTTCAGTTACGTTTATTGCACTGCCAGAACTCTAGGATGTTGATGTGGTTGCATAGTTGGTTGTGTACTTTTGATATGACAACAAGCTCTTCGAGAGTTGAGTTCCTAGAGATCTCTCAAGTGCTCCGCTATTGTGTACACTTGTAGCACTACTAATCCATTTTGATGTGATCCTATGTTTAACCGGTACCTTTGACGAACTTGCATTTGACAGATTAGTGAATGCAAGTCTCATATTGCTTCTTCTCATTATAGATTAAGTTGTTATTAACTTTATAGCAATTTCGGGCATGGAATACAGCATAAAAATTTGTTCTCATACAATATAAAATAAAGAACACATTTAGCAGTAAGTAAAGTGAACACATCACACTCAAATCAATGATAAACGATATAACCAATCAATTCACATAGCGTTACAATAAAACGGTATCAAATTGAAGGTCGGTGATAATACAGAAAGGTAGAGCAACACAGAAAGTTAACCTTATTCCAGAATCTCCACTGAAAGCTCTTTTTTGCTGTTGTTCCAAATCTATAAGATTATAACCAACCAAGTCAAATCATAGAGGGCAACCGAATCTATAAAAAAAAAATGATATCTTGCAGTTAGCAATGCAATAAAATTGCTAATTGCAGGTACTAAAAATATACCGACAAAATTAAGGGAGAAATTGAAAAATTGGGGAGGGGGTGGACCTCAAGTTGAACCATCAGGAGTAGCTGCGACTGAAGAGCATTATGAGTTGATTAGTATGAAAACAGGAAGAATTATCCCAATTCCAAAATGCTAACAGGGAGAAACTGATAATCAATCGTCTGGGCATAAACATACAAACGGTTCAGCAATTAAATTGGGGTGTAATTAATTATGAAATAATAGATAATTTCAGAGTTAAACTCGGATGGAAGAGAAAATGATGAGCCAGATTGTCGTAGACAAAGGCAAAAAGGGAAAACTTAATTCCCGAAGTTGAAAAGGGATAAACTAATCAACGTTTGTGACTCATAAATACAGATTATAAATGATAGAGAAATAGGTGCCGACCAAACCATTAACATTCATAACAGTTCGGCAACCATTGAAACGTTTTAGACAAAACAACATCTCAAATGGTTACCCGCGGCTGAAAAGAGGAATAATTGATAATTAACAGATATTCCAGTAATTACATAAATATATAAACATATATGGGTTATATAACATGCAAAAACAGGTGCACACTAATTACACATTTTATCAATACCCACATGACTCATCAATGACAACCTTAAATGTATTAAAATGGGGAATTATTGGTAGTTAAGAGATATTCTGGTAATTACACTAACACACAAGCATATATGGGTTGTACAAAATGCAAAAACGGTTGCACACTCATTACACGTTCCATCAATATTCAGATGACTCAGCAATGACAACTTTAAATATATTAAAATGAGGTCATTTCAGTAAACATATCCAAATACATGCCTCGTTAAATTGTACTTAAAAATTTTAAATTAATACACAATATTTCACATTTTCAAAAAAATCTCCATCTATGCGGTTGAAATTCAACTTATTTTTTGACAAAAACTCAATCTTATATAGTATAATGAATTCTTGATTGCCAAAATACATTATTATCAAAACATTATGATCTTGTACTATTTTAACTTTCAAGCAGTGTATTTTTTTTGTGAGAAAAAAGAAAATATTGGAAAAAATCAAATAGTAAAATAGAATGGAACGTGTCTCGTTATGGAAACAAAGACCTTTTATTTGACTACATTTTTAAATGAGAATGTGAAAAGTGTTTGGATTGAATATTATTTAAAATATTATGTAGAATAATTAATTTAAAACTTTTTTGTGATGTGATATATATGAATTAAAAGGTTAATTAAAAATATAAAGATGTGAATTGAAAAATATATTTATAATACAAGTAAAATATTATTTAAAATAATTTAGCAATCCAAACACACTCATAAATGACCAAGCTATGGTTTGAAGGATGCTTTAAATAACAAATTTCACTCCCAATCACTCATAGAAATAGAACTTTTTTGCATTGTAGAAAAATCGGTCACTTGTGCTAGTAAATCAAATTGGGAAACTGACTCGGAAACTTGTAATAGTTAGAAGTTTGATTTGATGATGCTGTATTGCAATTGAAGGGACAACAGGGGCCAAAATTACGATAAGGAAGAAAAGAAGTCACAAAATAAGTATGAGAAATGAACAGTTTACTCACTACTGCCTAGTCAACTCGTTGGCCAAATAAACTTGCAGAGGATAAGAAAGGACCCTGAAACTCTTTAGCTTGCCTAGCGATTGAGGCATCCCGGATTCAAGTGTCCGGATTATTACACAGATTCCATCGGGGAAGACGAACTCCAGCATTCCCCCCAGCAACAGCAAATAATTCCTTTGATTCTCAGCTAACTTAAAATTTGGAGAATTAAAAAGGGGAAAAAAATGAGGACTTCAATAACTCCTCTGTATTTCATCCCTACAACTCTTCCCAAGTCCGACCACCATTGTTTGGCGTCCCTCTCCACAAGATCATTCCGGGCCTTAGGCTTTCGTGTGTTTGCTGCTGCAGTCTCCGAACAGCGTAAAACCCCAAGCATTTCAAAACCTCCTAAAACCCCTTTTCCAAGCCCAACGGCTTCCATACCCACCCCTTCTCCTGCAGCAAATGAAAACCCTCCTAAGACCAAGAAGGTTTATTCTCTTTTTTTTTTCTCTTAATTTTGGAATTTATTGATTATTTATTTACTCTTTTGGGGCTGGGTTCTTCGTGCCGTGTTTAGTTAACGTTGGAATTGGTGCGATTATTGGGGAACTCATTTTAAGCTTTTGCTCCTCTTCTTGTACGGCTGATAGGTTTTGGTGCCAATTGGGTTTGGCTCAGAAGAAATGGAGGCTGTGATATTAGTTGATGTTCTGCGGCGGGCGGGCGCGGAGGTGACTCTGGCTTCTGTGGAGCAACGACTAGAGGTGGAATTTTCTGGAGGCACTAGGCTGGTTGCTGATGCATTTGTCTCTGCTTGTTCCGATCAAATCTTTGATCTAATTGCCCTTCCGGTTGGTTTTTCTTTCTGCTCCATAATTCAGTATTCAGCTGCTTTTTGTGTGGTTAGCTACGCCAATATTTCATCACGTTTTGACCAAGTACCGCTTTGACCACTGAACTTTTTTCCCGTTTCTTTTAGCGTTGAAGCTAGCAATTATAGATTCGTGAATTGTGAGAGACTGGTTGTGGATTACTGTTTAGGGTGGAATGCCAGGGTCTGCACGTTTAAGAGACTGTGAAATTCTCCAGAAGATGACTAGCAAACAAGCTGAGGAGAAACGGTTGTATGGTGCAATATGTGCTGCTCCAGCTGTCACACTTTTGCCTTGGGGCCTTCTTAGGAAGAAGAAGGTAACTTTCAACAAGTTTATTAATGCTTGATAAATGTATGTACTCTTTGTACTTGCACTTTTGTTTATCTAGTTAACATGTTGCTTTGTCCTGCAAGACGACTTGCCACCCTGCATTTATAGACAAGCTCCCTACCTTCTGGGCTGTTAAGTCTAATAACCAGGTCTCTGGAGAGCTGACAACAAGTCGTGGCCCTGGCACTTCTTTTGAATTTGCTATATCATTAGTGAGCCAGCTGTATGGTGAGACTGCTGCCAAGGAAATCAAGGATTCATTGGTTAGTATGACAATTTTTCCTAGGCTAAATTTTCACTTACGAAAATAGAATTAAGTTAAAGGAATATTGTTGAACTATATCGTTTCTTACCTTATTCTAACACCAAGATTTAGCTGGAAAATCAATTTGCATGTTGTTCTTTGTTAGAAATGTAAAAGGTCCTTTCCTTCTACGTCATGACTGGCAGTATTTTTCCTCAATTTCCATTTTTGGCTAACTACTTGAGTTGCAACTCTTACTCAATTGAATGTTCTGTGTATCAAAATTTTTGATTAGATAGAGAAACATATTTCTAAGTAAACTCCTTTCTTTTTCATAATGAACACCTTAGCCAAGAAATATCTGAACCAAGCAGATGTGCCTCCTTTTGAAGTTAAGAGTTTCTAAATTTATAACAAACCTTGTTTTTCTATTCCATTTAGCCTGTCTCAAGGCATAAATTTAATTGCAATTAGCTCTGGGCAACTTATTTTCTGTTTTATTGGCTTTAAGTAACGTTTCCTACTTCTTTCTGTATAGCTAGTGAATGACAGTGGCAGTCATAAGAAAGAAGAATTCAATGAAGCCCATTGGTCTCTTGATCATACCCCTCAAGTAAGTCAGCACTGTTTATCTTTCCCAAGGTGTCATTCTACATTTTTTAAGTTGGCCTAAGGTTCTTAGAATTGTTTCTTTTTGAACTTTATTTTGATTGGTTCTGCATTATTTTGTAAAATGGATAGCATCTTAAATTTACTTGGTCATGAAATATTTTTGCTTTCTTCATTTCTTTACAAATAGAAATGTCCAGTTTTCTTTATTTTCATTCTTACCATCAGCATGCTAGTGATAAAATTATCATCCTCTGTACGGTTGTCTTGAATGAGCGCAATTTTCCAGTAGCATCTATATCTGGAGGAGTGATACTGAGACGTGTGTAGAACTAGTGTTTATCTTGAGGAGTTATCTTGGAATTTAATCTATTCATAAGAAATTTTTGAACTATTTAGATGGGTTACAGATGTAACAACTTTTTTTCACTTGTAACATTGTAGGTCCTCCTTCCAGTTGCAAATGGTTGTGAAGGAATTGACATAGTTACCACTATAGATATCCTAAGGAGAGCAAAGGCCAGTGTTGTGGTTGCTTCAGTGGAAAAATCTACCCAGATTTTGGCATCACAAGGGATAATACTTGTTGCAGACAAACTGATTAATGCAGCTGCCGAGATCACTTATGATCTGATAATTTTGCCAGTGAGATTCTGTTTCTTCTCATCTTTCAATTGCATCTGTCTTTCCCCTAGAGTTGGGCTAGTTTGCTTCAGAATTTGGTCTTGGTTTAGTCAAATTATAATCAGGAGCTAGTGTGGCAGGAATACCTGCAGCAATCCACATTAAACATGGTTGTTCTTGCATGTATATTCATGCACAGAATTGGTGGTTTTAACCTCTTATCCTGCTGAATGAACTTGCTGGATTTTGTGCTTGTACATCAAGCCCTACTTCAGATATTAGAAACTCCTGTTTCTCGTTGTCAACTAGAGTGAATGATAGAAGTACTTCAATACAAAGTTAATTTGTAATAGCATGATACTTTTTCATTTTTTGAGTAGTTGGCTGGTACTGAACTTTAGGGAGGAGTTGGTGGAGCCGAAAGGTTGCACAAATCCAGGGTTCTCAGGAAGTTACTGAAAGAACAGCAAATTGGTGGAAGAATTTTTGGTGCAATGTGCTCTTCAAGTGCAATACTTGAAAGACAGGGGTTACTCAAGGTAGAAATCAGCATTCTAATATTGCCATAGTCTGGGCTTTTTGACATTATGATATCGAACTCATATGCTTCCCCTGTCTAACAGGATAAGAAAGCCACTGCAGTACCTGAATCAGTTCTAAGCAAGGAAAGTAATGTGGTTGATGGTGCACAAGTAGTCATTGATGGTAAGGTGATCGCAAACAAGGGCCTTGCTAGTGCAACAGATTTTGGACTGGCTATTGTGGGTAAGCTGTTTGGGCATTCAAGGGCAAGGAGTGTTGCAGAAGGTCTTGTCTTTGAGTACCCAAGGGCCTAAAAAAGGGACTACTGCCTCTCTAGGTTCATCCTGAAATGGGTGGCCTACCCACCCCAATTGGAAACAAGCGACGCTTGGGACTTAGCTTTAAGAAGTATTAACAAGTTTGTTCATGTGGAAAAAGTGGTTGGGATGAGCTGATATCTTTTGCTCGGCAACGAGGTGTTTCTGGCAAATTTGTAGTGGTTCCATGAAATATTAAGTGGCGAAAACCATGAGGTACACATTTTCATTCCGAATTTAAATATTGTCAGTTTTTTATTGAGAAGTTATTTTTTTATGCCTTTGCAAGTAATCAAATGCCGTAAACCACTTTGCTGCTGTCCTCATATGGGCTTCTGCAGGATGCACTTTTGCAGCTGCAGTGGTGGATAAATTTTGGGAATTTCCTGAATCCGGCCTACTGCCTAGAGATCATAATGTCTGACATGTGATAAGAGCTGCAAAGACATAATCTGCATTCCTCTGCCTCAACAGACCGTTAAAACATTGACACAAAACAGAGAGTTCCTTTCATCCTTTACCAACGCCACCAGAATGAGTCTCTGCTGACACGGACAATTTTGTGTGAGAGAAGTGCTGTGATGTAACAGAAAGTCCATCAGATAACTGGGGAGTTTCTTTTGGCTCATGAATCTGGATATATACTCTGTTTGATGCACACAGTCCTTTCTTTTTTCTTTTGTTTTTGGGAACAATATGTGGAGTCAGTCCAACTCGTTATGATCACAGATACCTATCAATATCATGATGCGAGATGTCGACACCCAAATGTGACGCGCTATTGCTGTGAATTGTGATCCATGACGACCAAGGACGGTTCGACATTAAACTGGCCTGGTCAAAATGCTAGAAGTGTCTGCGCCTTTTCACGTGTCTGTGCATCACATGCTAGCATGCAAAATACTGCATGCTTGACTTCCTCTCCGGACGGTAGGTCGGAATTCCAACCTTACTTGCAGTTAAAAAAGTACCCTTATCAGTTAGATTTTTGATATATATCAAGTCTAAGTACGAATAATTTGAATTTTGTTACTAATAAATTTCAATCTTATATTAATCAAACCAAAATCCAATTGGGCCCAATTTAATAAAGTTTTCCGACACAAACCAGAACTCAAATTTGACTTGATTTATCTGTCCCAACAGAAGTTATGTGAAAAAATGACGGCCGAAGGACTGCTAGTCAAATATGTAGCGTCAAACTAAGCTTTATCCTTTTCCTACTAAGAGGAAGAGGATTATTCAGATACAGGTGACGTATCCCCTACATTTTTTTCTTGTTTAGATGACAGATTAAGCTACAAAATGTCAGCAAGAACAACAAGATTTAAGATCCTGCTAGCTATTACTATTGTGTCAAGGGAGAAGCAAACAGAACCCCAAACAGGAAAATCTTATGCTACAAATAGGTTCCCTTATTCACTGCACCACACTCCCTGCTTCTGTTCACAAAGCTACCTAACATGTTTACAGGCGGAGACAGAAAAAAGATCATAACAAGCTAGCTACTCCAATCCACTTATCTAAACAATGCTCGAGTTCGTACTGCCCTAGAATTAGTACTTCTTGTCAAGGATTTTATCTTCCCGTTCTACCAAGGCCCTGTCAGCGTTCTTCTCAAGCATCTTCTTTTACCTCCCCACGGCATCTTCATTGTCTCCAACATCTGGGAAAAAATAATTAAGATTGTCAACAACTAAGCTTGGCTACTCAAATCACTACTAAGAAACTGCAAATTACTTTCAATAGTAAAACAGAAGCACGGTATTCAAAAATTGTATGCTGTGAAATTTCAGCGCCAGATATTATTCAGCGACAATACTACTGCCTTGCAACTCCAACAATTGTCCTTCAATTAAACAGTCATTGTCTTATTCCTTATCACTTCCTCCTCTTTTAAGCGTTTCATTCAGTGCGGGAGTTACCACTGCCGGACCTAAAAGATACCAGAAATAGAAGAGGCTGTACCTGATTTTTCTGCATCTCCATGAGTTCAACCTGCAACGAAATTCGAAACATTAAAAAGCTCCATCACTCTCCACATATTTTTAGAGTATTTTAAAAAGATTATCATTTTAACTTCCAACTACATTACCTGTTTTTTCTGCAACTCTTCATTCAGTTCCTTGAGCTTTGCCACTTCTGCTTCCAATTCTAAAGTATACGCCTGCATAACCCAATGTCAGAAATTGAGAAAGGTATTACTATACCAAGTGTCAACTACCGATCTAAAAAGGAAAGTCATTAAATTACAAGAAGTTACTGTAAGATAAATCAATCAAATGTAAAGTAAGATGTAAGAACGTCTAAAACTTCAAGATGACACCTGAGTTTGTTGTATGTCAGCAAGCAAATTATCTAGACACATGCCACCAATTTTTCATTCTTCTCATAACAGTCTCGTTACAGTCAGCATATTGTTTATCTTAGATATAACGAGTAATTCGCTTATCAATAGAATCTCTTAGTCACAACCACTAACACACTATAACAATCTACGTTCCAGTAGAAACTGGAAAAGGACAAAGATGCAAAACTGGTAGAGCTCGGTATTCCAGTATCATGGTAATCCAAATGTGACATGTTTATCATATCCTCACACCCAAAAGTGCTGCATTAGACATGGAAACGAATGAACATGTTTCAGATCCACAAATAAAAACATAAAAATTAAAGGAGATTCAATCAAATCGCTCAAAAAAACAGCAACGTTGACCTAAAAAGGCACAATGGTTTTTCTAATAAATTCACCTGCTTCCGGGCTCGTGACCGTGCAGCAGACTCTCTGTTTTTAATCATTCTCCTACGCCTGCGCTCAACTTGTTTCTCTAGAGTACTAGATGATCTCCTTCCTCGACCCGCTTCATTGAAAGCATAAGGAGATGGTGATAATGATGGAGAATCCAAACTACTTTTAGAAATCACATCAGAATGCAAATGATTTCCTGGAGACCCTCCTGCAGCTGCTGTTGTCACACCACGTAACCCTGCAATACCCATCACTCCAGTTGGTGCGACACCACCTTGAGCTACAGTAGAAGCTGCAGTTGTCATTCCAACGACAGAAGCATTCGGCCCCGGGCTAGCCAGCTGAGCGTTGTTCCCTATCTGCTGAACACTGTTTCCTAATGGCAAAGAAGAGGCAAAAGCCACAGTTGCTTGCTTGGGAAATAGAGGCTGCAGCGGCGGCTGCTGATTCTGTTGTTGCTGGGAAGATCTAACCCCATCTCCATTCAGAATCAGATTAGACGGGTTAGAAAGTGCATTCTTACTCTTTGCCATTTGGTTACCCAAAACTCCTTGATCTCGAGCAAGTTGCTGAAACCCAATATTCAAACCATTGTCAATACCACCAGATTGAACCAAACCAGCATAAAAACCACCATTGCTTGCCTTTCCAGTAGGTTGAGCATCTTCTCTAACAACACCTGCCCTGACTAAAAACTCCTCCAGCGTCATCTCACCCAAAGTGGGTTCTCTTGGCACCAAGTTTGAAGACCCACCGCCACTTCCATCTTTTGCACCTCCACTAAACAAATCTTTCCAGACCTCATCAACGGTCCTCTGGCTTAGGGTGCGTGGCAATGTTAAAGAGCCTTGCCTCTGCAAGTTTCCGGCCGGGGTGGTCCCATTTCTCTCAACAGTAGCATTAACTTGAGTCTCTTCGGCTGTCCAGATATTCTTTAACAGGTCCTCCATATTCATAGAACCAAAGTCCTTTCCCAAGCTGCCAAAAGTCTGAAGCTCACCAAAGGTCATTGAATAAATAGAAGATTGCCGTGCTAACGGAAAGTTTCCACCAGGCCTCCCAACATTACCTTCCGGCTGTGTTATGTTCCCCGTGTTGTCGAAGTTCAAACAAGACCCCATGTCATAAGAACACTAAGAAGTGCCACTGCCAAGAGCTGGTCAAAGAAGAATGGTTGTAACTAGTTAGCAGCGAAAGCAAATTAAGTAGATCTAAGAACCCAGTACCTCTAATCTATCGATACTTCCATGCAAGTTAACTTGCTAAAATGCTTCACGTCTTTTCTTTTCTTTTCTTGTCAACCTACTCTATCAAACCAAAATAGCAAATGCATAAAGCCATACAAATCATACTTCAGAGCTCAAGTATACGTAAGTACTGCTATACATCCTCTCAATTTCGACGAACATAAATCAGTATATACTCTCTAGAAATCACCAATAAATGCTACCAAACCCCATCTGAATCACTGTAATGAAGATTTCGAAACCGTGTGTCAGATTGTATAAACTTATCTAGCCTTCAAACAATACTAAAATATAACAGGATTATCTACTGCCAACATACAATATTAAGAGTCTGTTGATGTACTAAATTAGCATCAACTCAGTACAACGTATGCAAATGAACACTATAACCATCACCTAAAGGGAAAATAACACGATCAAAGGAGGAAAGAGATCAGATTAGAAAGAACGAAATCTTGTCCCGCTGAATTGGATTATGCAGATCAAAAACTGACCCCACTTACTACAAATCTAGTTCCACTAAATTCAGATCCTTATTCAATCCAATTCCCATAAAAGAATAACAGATTTACTACCAAAAAGATTTTTTTAAAAAAAAAATAGTATGCACCATAACAATACTCTCGAGCAGGAGGAAATTCTACTAACAAATGCCAAAATTAAAAATAAAAAATAAAAACCAAAAACACACATTTCATCACTGAAGAAAAAAATTAAGCAAACACCATCAATCAACGGATATGAGAAGAAGAATCAGACTGGAAATCATTAATCATTTTCATAATTTTCATTGCTGTTGAGATTATTTACTGGGAGCATTGCAGCAGTGGAAATCAGGAGACAAATTAGCGTGCTATTACAGGGAAAGCTGACATATTAAGACGATTTTACCCTTACTGGGAAAGAAAGAGAGAAGAAAGGGCGTTGGGAAGAGGAGGCGTGAGGAGGCGTGTCGATTCCTTCTTCTTCGCCGGATGGGTTAAGCCTTGCTGCAGTCGACAAGTGTCTTCTTACTACTCCTTCCGCACCAGTCCTTCATTTAAAGCCCAACCCTGTCCCCCATTTTCTTAATTGCTTTTTGTTTGCTTATTTAATTACGTGGATCTCTCCAGATATCGCAACGTGGCCCAATAGCTCCCGGCGGGACCTTCGATGTGATTCTTCACCAATGGCAGAAGGGAAAGTGGGAAGGCCTGAGCCGTCGATTGATGCTTTCCCGACACAGTTAATAGATGGCGGATGGCGATTGATTGTTTTGTCGGCTTCTGTTTCCAAACGCATATGCCGGAGAGCGGAGATACATTGCCACCTTCGGGTTTTCCCTTTTTTTAATTTCCCGAGCAGTGTTATCAATTATGAGTAGTCTACCCTTTTTGTGTTTTTTCGTTTTTAATTGATTATTGTAGTAGTACTATTTTTGAACACTGCGTCTTTCCCTGTCTGACGATTAAACTAGACTATTTTGAGCAGTACATTTTTTCTTGTCTTGATCCGTTTGAATTGCTACTTTCTAAAATTTTTGTATATATATATATATACACTGTTACGATTTAATGTATGTGATTTAAAAATGTGTTCATCAAAAAAATAAAAAAAAATTTTGAAAAAAAATGAGAATCCAAACAAATAGTAAGTATATTTGAAATAATTACTGTAGTACTTTTTGTGATGTCTATGAAATAAAAAGGTAATTGAAAAGATAAATTGTGTGTTGGAAATTATATTTGTAATGTAAGCAAATATTTTTTGGCCATTATTTGGCTATCCAAACACACTCATTATTTTTAGAAAATTGTAATGTAAACGTGTTTCCAAAAATAAAAAAGATATATAAAATAAAAAATTAGTTTGAGAGATTTTTGGGATTCATTAGTTAATTAGTTAATTGGGGAGCATAGAAATAGTTATGTAATGGTAATTATGTAGGAGTGGGAGGATTTTTAAATAATATGTGAATAGATTATGGTAAATATTGAAAGTGTATTTTTCATGAGCAAATTTTGAATTTTAAATTTAAATTTAGATGAGTTATCATGTATCTAATGTTGATACTATATATACTGTCAGATTAATCCATTTTTAAAAAGATAGATGTTAACATTCCTTTTAATACCAAACCCCTGATCGCATAGGATATCGATGACCCTTATTTCCTTTACTAGTGCTCAATATTCACTCAATATGTATGCAATCAAAAAATAACTGGTAGTTATAATGTTTAGAAGTAATTATGTTGAAAACTTATACTTAAATAGTTAAAAGTAAAAATAGTCATGAATAGTTACAGGTGGTTAAAGTAAAATTAATTTTTAAAGAAATTTCATGTGATCATAAATATTAGGGTTATTATCATTTTACCTTCTTTAACTATATCACTACTATCAGTTTATCCCCTAACGTTATCTTTTAATCACTTTACTCTCATAAGTAATTCAATTCAACATGTTAAGAAATTTTGGACAAAAATACTCTTTTATTGTATAGTATTACTACATTGTTATTATCACTTTATTCATTTAGATTATAGTGATACAAACACTTTAGTTTCTAACATTATTTTCTAGGCATTTTACCTCATCGTTAATCTAACTAGTATAGTCAAAAAATTTATATTACCCTTTTTTTTTATATATAATCAAAAATAAAAATGTTGGAATGGTTATTCTTTTTTTATTTTTTACTTTAAGAGATCGAAAAATATAAAAATAAAGGATTTTCTCAAAATTCTTTTTTCACATTTATTAATACTGGGAAAAGAAAAAGAGATAGGAAAGAAGGAGACAAAAAATTAGATTTTGCAAAAAAAGAAAATAAAGAAAAGTCTAACACTATCATATTACTTTAAGGTTGTCGAGATTAGGATTGAAATTTGATGGTAAACAAAAAAGTGAAATAATTTTAAAATAATAAAAGTATTTAATTCTTTTTTATTTATAATTTTTTAAAAAGATAATTGAGCTCTCTCTCTCCCTCACCCTCTCCATCTTTTTATTTATTTTTCAATATTAATAAAATTGCCAAGAAAAAGAAATTAATATTTTGACTTTTTTCTTAATACTAAAAAGGAGAAGAGTCACTTTAAATTTTTTATTATTTTTATTATGTAAAGAAGAGGGCATTTTCTTCTAAAGTTTTTTAACTTGTTAAATTGGTTTAATAATAGGATAAATTGTCTAAAAAATAATTATATGGGGTAAATTGATAATGAGACTATTTGTTATGGGGATAAAGTGATAATAATTTTAAGGGTTAAATATGTCTTTTCAGTTTAATTAACAAACTCTGTTAAGTTTGATCATTTGTTTTGGAGGGTAAAGTGACTAAAAGATAATGTTAAAGGGGAAATTGAGAGCAGACTAGCAGTGCCAAACGTTAACCCCGTAATCCTTAGACACATGACGGTCCTTTCATGTAAGCAGATAATGGTGAACAAGGCCCATCACGATTACATTTTCACGTGTTCGAGAGCAGAGTTGTTGGGCTAATTGTCTGGGAGATTGGCGCAATGGCTGAAACAAGTCCGTTGGCCCATAACTCGTGAGGAAGACAGACTACAATGCTGTGAATGAGAATGACTCAATGGGCTTAATGAACCTCCATTGAACGCTGCAGATGTTGAAGGAAAACTTGCAGTTCAAAAATCCATAATTCAAGCTATGACCATTGGGCCTTGGTCCAATGGCCAGGAAAAGCCTCTTTAAAGCTCTCCTATGCATTAAGTCAGTGGGATTCAAATCTCGCCTAACACATCATACAAGAATTTTAGTATTTTTTATTCTTAAAAAACTCTAGATAGAAAGAGTAGAAGTAAGCTAGATAGTTGGCATTGCAAGGAATAGGACTAAATTAGATAGTTGTCAATGTAAACAAAAAAAAAAGGAATTATTTTAATGGAAGTGTTATGGAAGCAAACATTAAGACATTTAAATTACACTTAATATACAAAATCGTTCATTATACCCCTTCATTTATACATTTTTTTAATTTAGTTTGACTCTTATTAGCAAAATTAATACGTGAAATCATCTTAATTAATGATTGGTGACACCCATTGACCAAACTAATAAACAAGGGGCTATCTGACGGGTTCTCATTAGGCACTTGCTAAAATATACTTTAAATGTCATTTTTTTTAAAAATGTAAGATTAATTAGGAAAAGTAAATAAATAAGGGAGGGTAGGTTAGATCATGGAAAGTATATTAATGCAAAATTGGGTAATAATCATTAATATGTGTGTATATATATGGTATTTAGATATATTAACAAGTGCCCATCGAAAATTTGTTAGAAAAACCATTAAACAAATAGTAGCACAAATCTAATGTCTCACAACACCACTCAAAAGGCCAAATTGTTCTATTTCAGATTAAACGAGCATCAAGCACATAGAAAGTTAATTAATAAAAACGTAAACCATGGTAGTTAATCCGAATGACTTGGCAATAAATGAGTAAATGCATTATTTTTAACTCTTTTTCTTTTTTAGTGTAAGTGAGAGATCATTAATCTGGAACCTATCACTTATATTTTCTCTTCCTACCACCCAACCTATCCCTCCTCCCAAAACATTATTTTAACCAATTGATATATGAATCAACAGTAAACATAAATAAGTCCTGTCCACCTACTCGACAAAGGGGCTACTTTTTTACTTTCCTGACGTTGCAGTGATTATAGAACGTGAGTTTTAACAGCCTGACTTTTCCATGATTATACTTGACAAAACTGATAGAATCAGAGGCATGATGGTGTCTCTTAAGTCTTAACAAATGATAGATGTGCTTTCAATAAGCGAATCCTTCTGTAACATGCAGAGAAAATAAGAACGCGATATTTCATTTCTGAGTAGTGGCCTCCTGCGGTTATAGGCTCCAACAAAATGCAACGCAGAGATTAAAACCCCTTGCATGCAACTTAGGCTATGTTCATGTACTTCGACACGGAAAAGCAAACGGCGAAAGAACTCGATGTTTTGGAAGCTGGATTCAATAGGGTTAACCCTGTCGTGAAATTCATCTCGTGATATGCACGTAGCAATGAGGTCGTGCACAACCATGTCTCGAGACTACCTCGCGCATCCATCTTTCGTAATAAATGAAAGAATTGAAACTATTATACGGTTGTATAATAGAATTTGTCGGTGTCTAAGCTTTTTGAGCCTATTGCCGAAACCTGCCTGGATCAAGGCCTTGTCGAGCCTTGCCTGCTGATGCTGATACTGATACTGTAACTTATGCGCGCATCTGACATTTGACAGACGCTACATGTCTGGGATTCTAACGCACTAAGGTAGCTCCTTAAACTCAGTCTGATTTAGGTATCGGAGTCATTTTTTTGGGGTACTAAGCCTCGACTCCGTGCCATTTTTTGTCTGTTGAATTTGCAAGTAAGAAGCTCGCCTCCGTTTTCTTCTTGCCCCGCACAGTCCGCATTACCAAAGTGAAACCATACAAGTTTAAATCAGCATTTAGGCCTCAGCCTAACAAACCAGTAGCACTTGGAAGGGGGACTTGATTTCGATTTGTGGTAAAGTAGGAACCGTCTGAGGACTTGGCATGAATTTCTTCCACTTTGTAGTAATTCAATGATTTCCCAGTGGGAACAGCAGTCACCGTTTCCTTCTCAGCAGTTCACATGATCCGCCGCGAGAACAAGAGCTAGTCTGGAATGAATCATTTGAATTCGGTCCCACATGACATCATATGGCAAACACATCTTTGAAAACCCCCACTTTTTCGTAGTCTCTTCTATAAAAGACCTCCCTCCTGAGTCCCTGCCCGTCCCAAACACATCCTTAATCTCTCCGCCAGAAAAAAAAAAAAAGGGGGAAAAGCACGCCGACAAGCCAACAAACGGCGGCTGCTGCTGCATGGACCATGTCAGCGCACTTTCAGCAAAACCGCTCTCCGAAACCAAGTCGGGGCCCCCGGACATGCAACGCGAAGCGGCGTGGCTGAAGCGCAAAAAGGAATTTCGTCGTTGGCAACGCCGCCGCTGCAAGAGTTTTACGGACTCCGACTTGGATGAACTCCGAGCTTGCATTGAACTCGGATTCGGGTTCGAATTTGATTCCGCCGATTTGGACCCCAAGTTGTCGAGTGCTTTTCCAGCTTTGGACTTTTACTGTGCCGTGAATAAACAGTTCCACTCCAGGAGTGATAGCTTGTCCAGGTCTTCTTCGTCGGTGACTGTTGCTAGCTCTGACTCTGACACGTCGCGGTCGTCTGCTGGAAGTTCCTCCAGTTCTCTTTTCGAGCCTGGTAAAAACTGAGATTTAAAATCTACACAGAAACAAAAAGTTTTTGACTCCCCTCTTCCTTTTGTTCAAATTAATTTTTAAGGGTTGTTCTTGAAATTAATTATTGATTGATATATATATATAAAACTTTTTTTTCCTTGTTCATGGTTTCCCTAGGTGATGATCCGGAGGTGAAGAAAACGAGATTGAGGCAGTGGGTGCAGGTGGTGGCATGCACAGTTCGACAATGTTCGCCCAGATGAATGTTGTTTTATCCATGGTTAACTGGAGACTAAGAAAGAATGAAATAATTGGCAACGTCAAGTAATCTTGCTGTCATAGATTTAGAAGAAAGAAATGGTTTAGGTTGGTTGATTCCAATAGACAATGATCCAACTGTTAAATGTTTGCGACAGCAGTCATTGATTCCAATTTCTTCTACTCCAATATTTGATTTTCCTTAATTTGCTTCTTGAGATTAGAACCTTGCTAATAAACAACTACAGCTATATTTTCCAAATCAAAAATTTTTTTTGTTAAAAAAAAAAAAAAGAGGCCTCAATTGATGAGCACTGCTGCCGTGTTAATTCTCAACAAGGGACGTGAATCAATGCCACCACAAAACGTGACCAAGGTTAATGGATAAATTATTGACAAATAGAACTATATAAGTCGGCATTATTAGCTAATCCTCGCTAATTTCAAATTAGCAATGTCCAATTTTTTTAAACTAATGAAAAGCTTTTTTTTTTTCTAATTTTTACATAAATGACATACTTCATTGCTTCTAAATTGGTCGTTTTTTTTAATGATGGCAACATTAATTGCTAAGGGCCTAGTTAATTATCGATATAATGATAGTATATTTATTTTGGCGGCATTAGTTATTTAGTGTTATAGAGGTAATAATTTTGGGTTTGTTTGGATAGAGTATTATTTGATACTGTAGCACTTTTTGTGATGTGATGTATGTGAGATAAAAAGGTAATTAGAAATATAAAAAGGTGAGTTGGGAAATGTGTTTATGATACAAGTGAAATATTATTTACATAATTATATTTTTAATGATGGCGATAGTTAATAACGAATTGGTCATTTACGATTATAGCGGTAGTATATTATTTAATGATCATGTTAGTTAATAACGAAGATAATAGTAGCGTATCTTTTAATGGTAGAATGTTTTTAATGAGAGCGATAGTTATTAATGAATTAGTTATTTACCGTTATACCCGTATTATATTATTAATGATGCTATTAGTTATTAACAAATTAGTTATTTACCGTTATAATGATAGTATGTTTTTTAATGATAGCGTTATTAAACACGATAAACTAGTGATATGCTCGTCGTGATAGTACATTAAAAAATGTAGGTAGTCCTTAAAAATTTGATAATTATTCTAACATAAACGAGAACATTCTTAAATGTTCGTTACTGTCTAACTAGTTATTCATCTTAATAGTAATGCCACCCGTGTAATGATGCTATCAGTTGTTGTCTTAATGGTAGAATGAAAAACAGAAATTCCACTTCGAGACTTGAGTCATTAATTGTTATACTTTTAGACCCTCAATGCCGGCCCAAGATAATTGAGAATTGTATGTGTTGCATACATTTTTGAAGTACAATACGAACCTACGGGAGAAGACAAGAACATTACCAGTATTATCATAATACTATGATGGGGTGTAAAGGAAATTCTTCCTTTTTTTGACGTCAAAAAAAAAAAGAAAAAGAGAAGAAAAGTGTCTACTCGATCGGCCTTTTTTTTTTGGTCAGATTCATCGTTTTGTTTACATAGAAAGTTCAAAATCGAAGCACTTTTTCTACAGTACAAAAGTTAATCACGATTAGAAGTCTTCCATTGCTGTTCCTAACATTTTTCATTTACTCTTGAATGAATAAAAAAAAAAGAATAAACATAAAATGGACCGTTCGACTTTCTTGGGCACAATGGGCTGAAGCACAGTGACAATAGAGATGGATGGGTGACGACGAGCTTTAGTGACAAGTCAGAATAAATACAGAGGTGAATGCTTGAGAAATGAAGGATGCTTATATTAAAGGAAATGAAGGATTTTCTTTGTTGTAGACAGTATACTTAGAGCCAATTGTTAAGAGGAATTTATGAACTTTCAATTCTGTTGGTGTAAGGATAATATTTTATACATTTATTGTTAGCGTAAGAATATTTTTATACTAACAGATTTAAATGAATGTCGCATAATCTTTATTTAAATATAAAATTTACTTCTTGAATTTAAACTTATTCTCATCGTTGCATAAAAAATATACGAGGATGATCCAGATTACCCCTTGAATACATCCAGTTTTGCCATGTTAGCAAAATCCCACTTAATACCTGTCTCAACAATTCATTTCCTATTTCCTTACACCACTCTAAGTGTTATTCGTTCCTCTATTTTCCCTCAAGGTCCTTGCTTCCTTGAGGGAAAGAAAACCAGATCAGCCATAAACCAGGGTTGGTTATACATCACAAGACTCCAACAAAAATATCTAGCCACGCAGTTTCTCGAAGAGGGAAGAAAAAATCTTAGATATAAAATTGTAAATTAATAAAAAGGTTTGACAAGGCGGACCAAGCTCATGCCTATCAAAAAAAAAAAGGATGACGAAATAAGCTACCATTATAGTACCCAGTTTTTTAAGACAACGGGCCATCTTTCTTCTTGACAGTGAAACATCTGCATGCCTGGTATTTGGGATATTCCATCCCTGCCCTTGTGGATTCTGTTTCAATGCTTGATTAAAAATGATATAGCATCCGGCTGGTTTTTGTGTGTAACACAAAAATATCCTCGGGGTAATACTGGTAATAAACAGAGAAAGAGTAAAGTGCAAAATATCGTCTCACACCAATCCTCCGGCACAGCTAGAAGGTGACGACTTTAACTAACAAGGTGCGTGAGAACAACCTCTGTGCCAAAGTCATCATCTGATCTGCTACGAAAACGATCCGTCTGATGCTGCACCCCCGAAGAAAATATCTGGCTGACATTGGAACGAAGATATTATCAGCCCTTTGCCTACGTGGCAGCAGTCTGATGTTATTGACACGTGTAAAAAGCGTCGCCATGTGGAGCCTTTATTGGCACCCAACATCGCATTTCTTCCTTCACCTCCACCGCTTCACCCCCCCCATCCCGCACTTTTCTCCTCAATCTCTCTCGAGAGGGTTTCGTCTGTCCTTTTCCTTTTGCATTCGTTTTATCCGATAAATCAGGGAGGTATTTCGGTGCAAATCTGCATTGTTAGGGTCGGAGAATGGTAGAGAGTAACCGGTCGGAGACTGCGCCGGCGTCGGCGAATCTGGTGATGGAAGAGTTTTGCAGCTGTGAGTTGACTCGATCGAACTCCGAGGCTGCTTCTTCTTTGACTGTTGAAAGTTCCGGAGATATCTTGTTTCCTTCTGCTAATGCAAGACCGGTAATTCTGGCATTTTTTCAACTGCTTTTTCCCGAAATGTATGTGTGTCTTCTTTCTTTCTACCTTCCTCCTTTGTATTATGTGGAAATTTGGTTGTCTGACGAAATCTGGTCCGGATCATAAAAGTTACAATGACACGGTTTGCTTTTGGAATTTGATGTTTATTATTTATTGCTGTGTGAATTCCATAAGCAAATTATTATTATTTTTTAATATCGTAATTATTGTTGTAGTTTAAGAGAATGAATAGATTTAGTATGATCAGTGCCGGATGAAAGAGTGAGAAAGGAAGACAAGCAAACTTCTTGAAGGCAACAAGATAGTTAAAACTGTTGGTTTCACTAGTTTCATAGGTGATTATACCATTCCTTTTCTTTTTCTTTTTCTTTTTTTTGGATTGAGAAAAAAAGGGGGGGGGGGGCGGTGTTAGCTAGATATCTGCTTAGTTGTACTAAAAGTTATATATATATTTTTTGTAATACCATAGCAGGACTTGAAAATGGGCATGGCGGGGTAACTTGTCCACCAGGACGCAACAACAGAGCTATTGCTTTTTTAGAAATTTCAGCACTGCATTTTTGGAACCGGAGCATATACAATTTAGTTGATTCTTGACTCATGTTGATTTGATATCAGGGTGGTTTGAGTTTTAAAAACTTGACAATCAAGTAGTAAGTTGTTGCTGTAAGACAGATAGTCGTTAACCGTGACGCTGTGTTGGAAAAGGCATTTTTGGAAAACTTTTAAGTATAATGCATCTTAAATGGATGACGACTGTGAGGTCTTAAAGAAGACAGACTTAATGGGATCTTGCTTTCTCGTTCAAGTGACAGAAATGAGTGGTTGAACAAGCTTGTCTTGGGTCTGATGATTGGAGAAATAGTAGTTCGTTAAATGTACTTGCTCCTCTTCAAAGTTGAATCCACTTATCACCTCTAACAACTCATTATTAAGTTTTTCATGACATTTAAGGAATCCAAAACTTTTGCATCCATTAAGTATGTTGACCATTTATTGTAACTCAAGTGAGATTTTTTTCTTTTCCTCATCTCTATGGACCTGACTTGAGGAAAACCAAAAGAGACAGGCATATGAATTTTTTGATTAGCATGTGGGACTCATTTTGGGAGAACAGCTTAATATGAACTTTGCATTCATGGAAAAGTGCTGTCTCCATTATTTGGAGGATGTTGAATGCATAATGGTTAAAGTTCTTATGGAAGCACTTGTTGCTCTTGTGCTACCATCTTCTGATACATGCTATTGTGACATTACAATTTGCTCTGATGAGATAAAATATGTCAAAGTGTTAGCATGACATTTATGTGGATATGAATCTGACAAAATGATGAGTTCATGTCCTAGTTAACAATGAGAGATGCAGTCACCATGTTTTAGATGGGGAAAGGTGGAAATGCAGTTGTTTTACAGTTCTTTTGTTTATTGAATTCTACAGAATTTTCTTTTGGTTTATTGTCTTTTATGCTTCATCCATACTTTTAGGGATGTTTTTGTTTGAGGTACAATGAGATGCAATGTTTTGGCAGACTGTCTAGTTGCATTAGACAGTATAATACTACTGGTGGCCAAAATGATTTCACTTTATCCTACTGTATGGCACAACCTTGGGATGAGGGACACTTAAAATTGGAGTTTTGAGGATGTTAAATTTGTTTCTAGGGATCAATGCAAAACTGTATTATGCTGATTGCATTAAATGCTTTTCTCATTAACCATTCACATGTTACCCCAGGATAAGTGTGAGGCATGGACAAATGAGCAGCACAACAAATATCTTGATTATTTGGAAGCATCATTCGCTCAACAACTACAACGATCAAGAGGATTCACAGCATGGTGCACTGAACAAAACAGAAGTGGTAAAGATTCATCTAAAAGGCTGCCTGTCTGTGTCAGCAAAACTTCTGAGCAGGTAACTCTCAATATTCTTTGGTGTCTGTA